CCTGCTGAAGCCTGCAGTAACCTGGCTGTGGCTGATAAGATCCACGACCTACGCAGAGGGAGGCATCTCTGTGGTAGCATGGACAGGTTTCCGTGACCACTCAGGATCTCACCCACAGATCTGAAGGGGCTTCTTGCCCACCAGAAGGGAAAATATCGAGGTGCATTTCATTTTCCAAAGCAATCCCTGCTAACACGGCGAGGAGAGTGGGTCTCTGAAAGCGTTTCCAGAAGCCACTGGGCTTGGTTGTTTTGTGTTCGTGTTGAGGATATATTGGGAAACTGCTCCCGCATCGTGTTGTATTATGCTTTGCACCTGTATTATGCTTCGGCGGTCTCCCTCTTGTTGTTCTCTCTGACGTGGTCACTTTGCTGTCCATTTTCACAGCAGTCCTGTGTCAACTGTGGTCGTGAGGCAACGAACGAGTGCACAGGATGCCATAAAGTCAACTACTGCTCCACTTTCTGCCAGCGGAAGGTATAAGCTTGTTTGTGAGTTGCAGATTCAGTTGTCTGGAGGGGGCTGTGTGACCCTGGGGGGAGCCAGACGGCTCTGCCTGCTGCCCGACGGGCGTAAGCACGGTGAGAGGAACGGGCAGCAGAACTTGCCATGTAGTGCAGGCAGCCAGAGCACAAGCCTTGCACGGGGCAGCAGCCCCAGCATCCCAAACCCACCCTACCAGGGGGACCTCCAGGCACGACGGTGGTGATGGGGCAGGTCTGCGGGTCAGGGGCCGGATCAAATGGGTAGGGACGGTCCCAAGATTTGCACACACTTTCTCAAAGGTGATCTAACAATCGGAGTAACAGCAGAAATGAGGGTGCGGACACCTCACTGTGTGAGCTGTGGGGACCAGTTACCTGGGAGCACTTTTACAACCCTTCCCTGCCGCTTCCTGGTAAGCTGAACGCTCCTCAGTGCCTGTGCTCCTGCTGGAGGACACAGTTCTCTTACTCTTTACATTATTTGTGGTGCTACAGATGACACAGTGGGACAAACCATAAGATTTTGAATGTGGGAGGTGGAAACAGGTATGAGGAAGTATGGTGAAGGAAACTGCTGCACTTCATGTTTCGCACAGTTCCTTACAAAGACCCTGGGCACCCTGCTTTAGAGGAAAGCGTAATTTAGTTTGGCCAGGGTTACAGTTCTGCAGGCTGTCCAAGTTGAGTCTTCATCAGCTGAGGCCAGGTGTATTGAGTAGCTGAAGAATTCTGACTGTTTCCTTTTGCCTCTAACAGTGTAATGGTGGCCAAGTTCCCTGTCTGCATAGCAGAAAGATTAAAAATTCCAAAGAATGAACAAATACCGCTTGAAGAAAACTTAAGAGTCTACCTGCCGCCTCCCCAGGCATCTCACGGACAGTAACGCCACCCTGTTGTCCTCTCACACAAAGTGCCCTGGGAATTGGCACCAAGTAGTCACCTTTTGTTCCCCTCCTAGACAGCTCGTCCCTTCTAAGGGGACAGCAGCCCACGCCTGTAGCCGGTGCTCTCTACTGCAGAAGGGTGGGGGAGTTTGGAGTGCTGGCCAGTAACCGAATCCTTGAGATTCCCCCCGGATTTGTGAGCTACGACGGGCAACCTCTTGAGTTGAGCAAGTTAGAGGATTTTGTTAGTTCAGACTAGAAGTTGCAGTCGGTCAGTCTTGGGAGGAATTGTATTCCTCTCCTTTGCCATTACTGAACTCAGACCCCTTGCGTGGCGCTGTCCTGCAGGAGCTGTCTTTTGGGAGAGGGGCTAAGTCAAGGTTCTGACTCTGGTTTAGTAAAATTTTCCATGACCTAACCGACATTGATGTCCTGGATTGGTTTTTGGGTCGAGAAGCCAGCATTCTGCTTGGTTTGTGTCTGCCTCTAGCATTGACCACAGTGTACGGTTCCTTTCCTGTCGCCGTGAGTCCTGTTTGGCCGAGCACTAGAGCCCTGCTGCAGCCCATCGGTGCTGGAGAAAGCGCTTCGCAAACCGGGCTCCTGCTGGGGCTTCTGCAGGCTGCGTGCTTCCCAAGGGCCCCTTCTCTTCATGGCCTTTCCATCTGCTCTTCCCTCACAGGACTGGAAGGACCACCAGCATATCTGCGGCCAGTCGGCCACGGTGACGATGCAAGCCGACGAGGTGCACGTCACGGACAGCGTAATGGAGAAAGTCGCTGTCTGAGCACACCTACCTCTTCAGCCGTTCATGAGCGACATGGCGCGGCCGGCTGGATCGGCAGCCCAGCGTGAACGGTCTGTCCTTTACAAACCACACTCTTCTCTCTAGCAAACTCATTTTGAAAGATTTTTTGATACTGTGACAGCATTTGTCTACTCCCAATCCTCTTCCGAAACTTTTGAGTTATACAGAGACTGTGAAAACCTCATCTGGAAAAAACAAAGCCCACCTAACTGCAGCCCAGCCGCTGGGAGCCACCTTCGGCTTATGGAAGCTTCGACTCTGCCAGACTGGAACCTCCACTATGTGGAATACAGCGATCTCCTCATCTCTCTGGAGATGGATCTAAAGCAGGTGCTGCAACGAGTTCTGCCAGTGTTTCCTTCTCCCTGTTGCCTCCTTACCTCTTGTTTGAAAAAAGAAATAAAAATTCGTTTGGTTTATTTAATTGCCTTGAAAAAGTCAGTACAAGTTCTTAGTTTGCCATTGGAAGGACTTTTTTTTCTTTCCTGTGTTCCCTCTGTGCTGGGCAAATTTGGAACACATTGGAGCTTATGCACTTGAATATAAGTGAAAAATGACATGTTGTTAAATAAAATGCGGTGAAAGCATGAGCGTGCTCGGCAGTACCGTTTAATTCCCACAGCAGCACTTGATCATACTGATGAATGCAGCAAGCGGCTGCGGCGTGGCTGGCG